GGGGGGGTGGGGCGGGGGGGTGTAAAGCCTAGGGTGACGGGAGGACGCTAGTATATGTCCTCCCCGTGACCCAGAGGAGAACTATGGGGAAAAACACTTACTCCATAATTCTCTTTTAAGTGCATTTGTCACGAAATTTTGGGGTTTGATAAGTTGTTGCGCTAAAATCGTGCAACATTCAAATTTGCAACTGCCACCATTTTATTCTATAGTGTCTTGGCTTTCAGAATATATATAATGTTTGGGGGTTGTTTTAAGTAATTTTCAGGACTAAAATGTGGGTTATAACATGCAAACAAAAAAATGGCAAAAAAGGCCTTGGTCACGAAGGGGTTAATATCACTTTAAAGTACCGATGCTTTATATAAACGTTGCCATTGAATGTCTGCTGTATGTTATGCTGTTAAAATGTATCAAAACACTAAAATGTTATCATTTGCAGCCTATCAGTCCTTCGGCGAGGTGGCTGCATTCGTTTTCTTTTTTCAGGCTTTTTTTTCCCCTTTATTGTATGTGTTGATGCTGCAAATAACACACTTCCTGTCCAAGGGTGACAACACCCTCTCATTTATGGAGTGAGCCATGTTTGCCACCCTAAGATGCTGTCCTGATTTGGTCTACTAACCCCTTCTTTCTCCTCTCCATTACATCGGGAGGCGTTCTTTTGTAGTTCTCAGAAGGTAGCGGTTTGATATTTTAGTTGAGTGCACATGACCTGGACAAAGGAAATTCTGACACGACATGAACTGTTCTGTACTTGTAGAAAATTTATTTAGCCTAAAGAATAAAACTAATGCGGCCACCACATGTAATAGGCTGCATAAAACAAATGTTTGTTTTGGGGTTTAGATATCCTTTACGTTACGTCATCTTTAAGTTTTAAATAATAAAAATATGTTTTTTTTAAAAAATAACTCATTTTCGATAAATTTACATCACTGCCATCAAATCGTTTCAGCCTTCTGACCCAATACTAAAAAACACATTTCTGCACAAGACGAAGAGCCTTCTGACATACGGGAAATTACAAAAGTGTTGCAATAATATTTAAAACGCTGACGTGGGTATGTGAGAATACCCCGGGGAGGCCGTCAAAGTGTGTAATGCAGCCACAGAAATGGTGTCCACAGACCTCCCCGTCTTAGAAACTATTAGCTGATGTTTTGAGGTAAGGTAAGACGAGCCCTTGTAAAAATATCACGCAGATCTGTGCGGTGGGGGCTGTAGAGTATCCAATCACAGGCAGAGTGAACGCATTTCAAGTAAATGCATTTTGACTTAAATACACAATGGACACCTGGCCGGTGTTAAGGCCATAAAAGTTATTCACGCCTCTGGGCCGGAACCACCTAGCAAAAGAGACTGCGGTCGGCCTATGAGTGTCCAGTCCAAGGTGACCTGTCACATATGCGCGTGTGTATCGACCGTTAGGAATGCCAAATTCAAGAAGGAGGAATTCCTCTTTGGGTTGTTACCTTCCATGAGAGCAGACCGAAATTATACAAAATACACAAAGATGGTGAAAAAGCAACAAACCGATCCAGCGCCACTCAAAACACCACCGTGTGTATGTAGTCAGGTCACAATGTTGCAGAGTAAGCCAAAACATTATTTAAAAAAAAGGACTTTTGTTTCATACATTGCCAATGTCCTTTCCTTATAATACGCAGAGGGAGGTATCAGCCATGGCGTCATCTACGGTTAAAGTGTCTAAAAACAGCAGAAAACTGTGTGCCAGGGCAGAGAGAGGGGGGAGAGAGAGACAAGAGAGAGAGAGCTAGGAGGGGCAGGCAAGAGAGAGAGAGAGAGAAGAGAGAAAACCAAGAGAGACAGCCAGGGGAGAGAGCGAGGAGAGACAGCCGGGAGAGCAAGGAGACAGCCAGGGCAGAGAGGAGAGACAGCCAGGGCAGAGAGGAGAGACAGCCAGGGTAGAGAGCAGGGAGAGAGCGAGGAGAGACAGCCAGGAGTGTGAGCAAGGAGAGACAGCCAGGAGAGAGAGCAAGGAGAGACAGCCAGGAGAGAGAGCAAGGAGAGACAGCCAGGAGTGTGAGCAAGGAGAGACAGCCAGGAGTGTGAGCAAGGAGAGACAGCCAGGAGGATGAGCTAGAGAGAGTCAGCCATGAGAGAGAGCTCTCCACCTTATACATTCAGCCATGTCAAGGCAAGAGCCAATCCAGGATCTCTACTCTCTGGAGAGCTGGAAATGTATCAAACCAAATAAATGGATCGAAGGAATCCTGAATTCTGCATCTTTACCAAATTAATAGTTACATAGTTACATAGTATTTGAGGTTGAATAAAGACATTGGTCCATCAAGTCCAACCTATTAGGATCTCATTCTAGGAGTACCTGTACCCCTGTATATTACGGTCCCTTAAGAAATCGTCCAAAAGTTTCTTGAACAATTCCACATTATTTGCTGAAATCACCGTCTGTGGCAGTGAGTTCCAGACCCTAACTGATCTTACTGTGAAGAACCCCCTTCGCCCAATTACTATTATAATAGTAATAATAATAATTAATCGATTGCTGATCTACAGGAGCCGCCTTTACAAACCTTCACACCAGACAAGACACCCAATTGGGACTCTTTTAAAAGTGCAAATTAAGCCATTTTTTTAGTTTTGGATAGAGTGGGGGGATTAGACCCGCTGTCAGGTTTATATTGCCGTCCACATAAGGGAGATTCCCCCTCTCTATTGCAATATCAATGAAAGTGAAAGAAAATCCCAGATTTTTGGGTTGTCATCAGAACAGGAATAGATGGGAAATCTTCCAATAGGGACACTAGTTCTGGTGACCCCCAGGGATTTCCCTCTCTTTGGAGAGATTTCCTCTCACTTCCTGTTGTGGCTATCGGACAGGAAGTGAAAGATCCCCAATGCGAAACAGATGGGTAAAAAAAAAATAGATGACAGGGGTT